TTCTAAATGTCTAGCTTGCCCATGTGTATATGCGTGCAAAATTTCAGCTTTGTAACTTTGTAACTTTTTAAAATAAAAATTTATTTGGATTTGAGCGCTTCTCGTGCAGTCGTCCCTTGTAAGAAAAAAATATCCATTTTTTGCCCTAATTGTTTTTAATTAGCTTTTAAGTGATTTACCATGTGCCTGGGCCCTAATTAGAAGAAAAAGTCCCAAACATGGGTCAAATCGGCGTATTTCGCAAAGTTAGGTATCGGACCTTCACCCTTGGTATGGCTTAAAAGAGCAGATAATAAGCAACTTTTCCTGGGCTAACTTTTTTCCTATGGGAGATTTTTGAGCTGGGTTTTTTTCTAAATGTCTAGTTTGCCCATGTGTATATGCGTGCAAAATTTCAGCTTTGTAACTTTGTAACTTTTTAAAATAAAAATTTATTTGCATTTGAGCGCTTTTCGTGCAGTCGTCCCTTGTAAGAAAAAAATATCCATTTTTTGCCCTAATTGTTTTTAATTGGCTTTTAAGTGATATACCATGTGCCTGGGCCCTAATTAGAAGGAAAAGTCCCAAACATGGGCCAAATGGACGTATTTGGCAAAGTTAGGTATCGGACCTTCACCCTTGGTATGGCTTAAAAGAGCAGATAATAAACAACTTTTCCTAGGCTCACTTTTTTCCTATGGCAAATTTTTGAGCTCGGTTTTTTTCTAAATGTCTATCTTGCCCATGTGTATATGCGTGCAAAATTTCAGCTTTGTAGCTTTGTAAATTTTTAAAATAAAAATTTATTTGGATTTGAGCGCTTCTCGTGCAGTCGTCTCTTGTAAGAAAAAAATATCCATTTTTTGCCCTAATTGTTTTTAATTAGCTTTTAAGTAATATACCATGTGCCTGGGCCCTAATTAGAAGGAAAAGTCCCAAACATGGGCCAAATCGGCGTATTTCGCAAAGTTAGGTATCTGATCTTCACCCTTGGTATGGCTTAAAAGAGCAGATAATAAGCAACTTTTCCTGTGCTAACCTTTTTCCTATGGGGGATTTTTGAGCTTGGTTTTTTTGTAAATGTCTAGCTAGTCTATGTGGATATGTGTTCAAAATTTCAGCTTTGTAACTTTGTACCTTTTTAAAATAAAAATTTATTTGGATTTGAGCGCTTCTCGTGCAGTCGTCCCTTGTAACAAAAAAATATTAATTTTTTTCCCTAATTGTTTTTAATTAGCTTTTAAGTGATACTCCATGTCCTTGGAATCTAATTCTGTCTTACTGTATGACGTCATTTCGAGGTCATGTGAGATGCGCGCGCCTAAAACCATCATTAGTGTGTCTAACCATCGAGGTGAAAGCACCTCTCAATAGTCGATCTCTAATTTTCTAAATATTTTGAGAAATTCGACTTAGGCCTATGACCTGTGGTTTAGTTGAAATCTAGTGAGGCCATTATTTTATTAATTTAAGTTGCTACGAGATAGCACTATCTGTCGTTAATCGACAATTTTTTTTTTTTTTTTTTTTTTTTTTTTTAAAAGCATTTTCTTGAGATTCTACGAAGAAAAGTTTAACTTCTACTTCG